TGTACTGCTTCACGAAGCTCTGAACGAAAGGAATGAAGGACACCGTGTCCCTCGAGCGAGGAGGGTCCACTGGACAACTCTTGCACGCGACAGGGACGAATGGAGACGTTGCTGGCGCCCGCTCGAGCAATTCGATGATCAACGGGACGACAGGTGATACAGGTGGTGATAACAATCGATGAATATAGAGAGAGGTATATTTTAATTGGCAAAACTAAATTTGTGAAAGGCGGTCGTTACTTGTGGTGTGGTCTGCACCCGACGCTTCTGAGGGGCAGTAGTGCTGAGCAGGATAGAATAGCAGCTCAGACTATGTAATTGTGCTTACTGCTGCACGTACATCGAAGTAAATATCATGGCAGGAAAAGCTTTTTTCAAACGCGTCAGACTTCATAGAAAGCTAGAACAGCGCCTCAAACAGCAGGAAGAGGCACCGACTAATAGCAAGGACCCGCCAAATTGGTATGACCTTTTCATTAGTACCGAGACAAGACGTGCTCACGGGAGCACACGTGACAGAATAAATCCGCCTCTGTTCTTGCCAATGAAGATGACGGAATTTTGTAGTCAACCTCACACTCAAATTCGAAGGGGGCTAAAATTGGCCATGACACAGCTGTCGTCTCAAAAGATACGGCATATTTCAGGGGGCGATTTCTGGAGCACAAAGCCCACTGTAAAATAAAAATAAAGCCCCAAATAAGAATCCTGAGGATGCTTTCTGCATAGCGATGCGTTGAAAGCATGCCCCAGGATCACATTGGTGTGGCTCTTGCACACGAATGCGAATGTATTGGTGCGAAGTGGGCCGGCAGTGAAGAAAAAAGGAAAAGAATCCGTCAAAAACGCTTAGGTTAAGGGCTCACTCACCTTCCTAATCGGCTGTGCTAAGGGAATGAGAGACTAAGCGCGGAGAGGAGAGTATGAGGCGAGAGAGCGCTACAGATGAGAGAGCGCCAGACAACAGCCTGATAAGAGAAAAAAATCTGCAGCTTCAGCAGCTTACTTTGCAAGGCCCAAGCGCTCTTGTCGGTTGGTTTCCGTGCACGGGAACGCCACATTTGTGATTGTCCTCTAGGGTTCTATACTACAGACCGAAGGGAAGCGTTCACACGACTCTGCCTGAGGTTGTGCCTTCAAGGCCCTAGTCGTTGAGACAAGATTTCATTGTTGATTTGATCGAATGTTCTAGGGGAAAAGCGCCAATGGTTGATGCTCCAATTCTGAAACAAACACTGATGAACTGCAGAAATACAAAGATTATGCTACTAGTACCACTTACCGTTTTCAACGGCGTCGAGCAGGCATTCGTGATTGGCATTTTCACTAAGGTATGATTTGATCTTATAATCGTTAGTAGGCTGAAATTTCTATCAATTTTTGGTTTCTAACAAGTTTTTTCAGGCCTTTGTTGCATGTGGATTGGGCGTGCCACAAATAGGCTTCGTCTGCACTGCGTTTGGAATATCGGACGCCATTTGCAGTTTAGTGTTTGGTCCACTGATCAAACTGTTTGGTAGGATGCCGCTGTTTGTGTTTGGAGCCGTGAATAATATGCTGATGATAGTAACTCTAATGGTGCGGGTCTCTGATTACAGTATCACTTTAAGAGATTTTTTGGCCATTCACTATCTATTGCACCTTTTTTATTGTTTCAGATATGGCCTCTGAATCCTGCTGATAAAGCTATACTCTACGTTGCTGCCACTGTGTGGGGCATGGCAGATGGCGTTTGGAATACTCAAATAAACGGTCTGCAATTTTTTCTACATGAGTCTGTATTGAGGGGTGGAAGAGTTACTTTACTTCACATTTGAAACGAACTATTAGGCTTTGCTGAAGTAAAAAAGTATGATCCCAACAGGAAATGGAAGCCACAACACAATCTGTCAAACTTCGTAGTAACCTTCTCTGACGACATCAGA